TCCTATATGTCATCACACTCTGCCTCATTGTCAAAACTTTAACTGTATTCACTGTAGTAGATCAGTGTGTTTCCCAGATTTCATCTGAGTCAAACAGGGTAATTTTGATTTTAAAACAGAAACAGAATGTGTCACTAAGATTCACKTTGCCGTTTTTGTGCCTTAGTCAAGTGTAAGTTTTAAATTTAGCATCTGTGATAATACACTTTTTTATCCTAGTCACTGTCTTTAGAGGCTGGCATTATAGCTGAAATTTGGTTGCAGACTTTCCCCAGGTACTGGGAATTGAAACATTATTGAGGACAAAAGCGCCCCCAAGTTTTTAAATTTATTTATTTTATTATTTGTTGGCTGTGGTAAATATTTGTAGTTGGTTGAGCGTTCTCATTGACTTGTTTTTGCGTTTCTGCCTTGTTTATCACATGGGCAAYGTCCACTTCAGTTTGAAAAATTTAAGGTGGTCTAGCCTAATAATGTGATGAAGTCATGACGTCTTATTTGTGCACGTGTGGTCGAACGATGCGCGCTTCGTTTTTGAAAACTCACATCTCTACAGGATGTGGCCGGTTTCATCTATAGTTTATGAACAACCAGAGGAAGCATAAAGACGAACCGGTCTCTGCGGCCGTTTTATGTAACTTTTGTAACCTTTGTTGCAATTATAGTGTCACTGCTGTAGTTGGACTGCAAAGAGCAAACTCCCTGATTTTCTTTGTAGCTTCACTGCGCTGCCTGTAAACTGGTTCAGTTGAAGATCGATAGTAACAGCAGATCCATGTTTTGACACATCAGTAAGTGGGAAAACAAAAGAAATCACTGCTTTAAGAAAAATGTTTAGCTCCTTGTGAAAGGTCCCTTTAACTGAAGTTCTGTTTGAATGAGATGTGGCTAAATCTCTTCAGAACAGCATTTCCTTATATTCTTTTTTTTTTTTTTTTTTTTGCCTGAAAGCTCAAGCTCTTTGTTTTGCTGAGTTAAAATGTGCCAAGTGTCAGTTTGAGCTCAAAGTGCTAAAGTGACTCATTCTGCACCTCATTATTGTGGCTGCAGATGTCTTTCTACAAACGTTATTTTTTTTGAAAAAAAGAAAAAAATTGTATAGGTCTTCTGGACGGGTTCCTCTCTAATGAAACGTTTCGTCTCTCCTCCAAGAGACTTCTTCAGTCTAAGAGAAATGATGATTCTTGTTTTTTTTCAATGATTGTAAATAAGAGAAATGTTGTATACTGATGCTTTTAAATGAAAGTCTCCGAAAGAGTGACCGATGGCCTGTAAATGAGTGAAAACTGCAGAGTTCTGGCCATTAGATGTAGCTCGTCTGTGTTGGGACATTCTCATTCTTGATAGAGAGGAACGTTGGTTTGAGAGAGGAGTAAAAGAAGCCATTTTTGTGAAGAAAG